CTCTTACTAAACATAAGATAATTCACACTGGAGAGAAACCCTACAAATGTGAAAAATGTGGCAAAGCCTTTAACCAGTCTTCAATCCTTACTAACCATAAGAAAATTCATACTAGAGAGAAACCCTACACATGTAAAGAATGTGGGAAATCTTTTAACCGGTCCTCAACCTTTACTAAACATAAGGTAATTCATACTGGAGTAAAACTCTACAAATGTGAAGAATGTGGCAAATCCTTTTTCTGGTCCTCAGCCCTAATCAGACATAAGAAAATTCATACTGGACAGCAACCCTACAAACAGGAAAAATTTGGCAAAACATTTAACCAGTTTTCACACCTTACAACAGATAAGATAACTCGTATTGGAGACAAATCTTACAAGTGTGAATAATGTGGTAAAAGTCTATAAAAAGTCCTGAATTCTTAACAGACGTAAGATTATTCATACTGGAGAGAAACTCTACAAACCTGAAAGATGTGCCAGTGCTTTTGACAACTCAAACTTTCCTAAACATCAAGAAAATCATACTACTGAGAAATCCTAGAAATGTGAAGAATACGACAAAGCATCTAAATGATTGTCACACTTGATTGTAGGTAAGATAATTCATACTGGAGAAAACTACCAGTGTGAACAATGTGGCCAAACTTTGAACCAATGCTCACACCTTAATGAACAGGAAAGCATTTATATTTGAGAAAAAGTGTACAAATATAGACAAAGTAAAAATGCCATTAACATGCTCACATCTTACAATCAGAGCGTTCATACTAAATAAAAACATTAGAAGTGTAATTACTGTCAAAAGATCGATCAGAAAATATGTCTTTAAAGTAAGAAGAGTATTTTGAAAAAGCATTACAAATATGAAGAGGCATTATTTATGACCTTTTCTATGGAAAGGTAAGGACATTAAAATGTAAGATGCATGATGAAAACTTAAGTAGAGAGGATCTTTGTGGTTAACTTGTAATATTGAGTGACGCATGAGGTAGGTGTTCAGATTAGTATTCTTCTGCATTATTATGAAAGGAAAACATTCTTAATTTTAGTTAAAATTTAGTATGATTGTATTTTTATGAAATATTGCAGTATATTTTAAAATTATAAATTACATGTGAACTTAACTTTTCAACTCAACATTTTTAACATGTTAAATACTATAGTGAATTCAGTGAAGTGTTATTATGCCTCTAACTTTAACCTATTCCACCTTACTCAAGGGTGTAAGTAAAAGATGGTAAAAATATACTGTTTGGTAAGATAAATGGATTGACATCTCTTGTAATCTTTTTTGCCAGTGACTTAATTGCCATTAAGTTAAAGAATATTGTTCCTTTAGGTTAAATTTTTATTTTTATTTTCACATTTAAATGTATTCTTAATTTTTGTGGATACCTAATATGTGTACATATTTATGCCCTATATGGTATATTTTGATACAGGCATACAAAATATAACCATTACATTAGACTAAATGCAGTCTCCATTACCTCTAGCGTTTATTCTTTGTATTACAAACAATTCATTTCTACAGTTTTAGTTATTTTTAAATGTACAATTAAATTATTATTGACTACAGGATTATTTTTATGGTCATAATAAAAATTATATACAAACATAAGTAAAATACATACATTTCTGAGTCCCGAATAAATCTTTAAAAAATTTTTAATGTATTTTTCTTTGAACATGTGGCCTCTGCCTGCAAGAATATATGGACTGTTAGTATTGATTTACATTGAGTTAAAAATACACATCTATTAGTCTAAAGATGAATCTTAGGTGTAAATAAATTCTGGAGTGTGTTTGAGTATAAGTTTGAAACTATAGGAGAAAAAAAGCAATACTGGAACAATAAATCATTTTAAGAAGGTGTCTAATTTACTAGAAAACAAAAATTCTCAAAAATGCTGAAAGCAAATTTATGCTGTCTGCTTTGTATTGAATTTATTACTGTACAATCTTTTGGTTCAGAATCTCCCCATGCAAATTCTCTGTTTTAACTTGACCGGCACTCATGATGAACCCTAATTTTCTTTTTTGTTTAATAGGTTTTTTTTTAAATTTTTGTTTTTGTTGTTTGTTTGTTTGTTTTTGAGACAGAGTCTTAATCCATCTCCCAGGCTAGAGTGCAATGGTGCAGTCTGGGCTCACTGCAACCTCTGCCTTTCAGGTTCAAGCAATTCCCCTGCCTCAGCCTCCTGAGTAGCTGAGATTATAGGCACGTGCCACCATGCCCGGCTAATTTTTGTATTTTTAGTAGAAACGGGGTTTCACCATTTTGGTCAGGCTGGTCTCAAATTCCTGACCTCATGATCAACCCGTCTCAGCCTCCCAAAGTGCTGGGATTACAGGCGTGAGCCACCTCACCTGGGCTAATTTTTGTATTTTTAGTAGAGACAGGGTTTCACCATGTTGGTTAAACTGGTCTCCAAAGCGTGACCTCAGGTGATCACTCACTTCGGCCTCCCAAAGTGCTGGGATTACAGGCATGAGGTACCAGGCCTGGCCTGTGTAATAGTTTATGAAGAATTCATTATGTGAGCCTGTCTGTAATTATAAGAATAATTTTTTTTAAATTTTATTGTTCCATAAGTTACTTACGTACAGGTGGTATTTGGTTAGTTGAGTAAGTTCTTTAGTGGTGATTTGTGAGATCCTGGTGCACCCAAGCAGTATACACTGCACCATATATGTTGTATTTTATCCCTTCCCCTTTCACTCTTACCCCCAAGTACCCAAAGTCCATTGTATTATTC